GTGGTTGGCGTTGCGTTTGATGGATCTTTAATATCCAAAGTGGATATTTAAGATCTTGGAAGCAACACATCTCTCAAAATAAGAAGAAAGATAGAGAGAGTGTTGTTCCAGAGAAGGTGTATGGTCTAATACTGAAAAATACGAGATTTCCACCATAGACCTTCTCTACTGCCGAGATTCTCACCATAGACCTTGAAAGTCTTTTCTTCTCAATAGGCTTCTTTCAATGCCCTCTATGAGGGTGAGAAAGAAAAATTTCTCCATTGAGGATATTTTTCTTGGTGTGTTTCTTAGACAGTGAGTTTGAGGACTTTTCATATTGAGAGAGTTGTTTGTGATGGAAATGGATTGAGATATCTTGATTTAAATAGGAGAGGAGAGGGTTCACGGGTTCCATTAATTTGGTAGGTGGAACGGTGAGAGCAAAAGAGTTTCAACTTCCAAGAAGTTGAAAAGTGGAAGGAATCTTTTACCAATTACCAATGAGTTGAAACTGTTCCAATTTGAAAATCAGTTTCGTTTGGTTTGAGAATCATAACTGTTTTAGTTTGGCTAAGCCCAAAAGAGTGGCCCAAAAAGAACAGAAAGCTACGTACTAAAGGGAAATTATTCCTATTGGGTTCTCAAGGCCCAAAATAAAACTATCATTTTTCATTCCCTATAGTTCTAATTTCTACTTAGGACGAGGTAGCACCAAAACAAATATGAATATTATTTTTAAAAGAAAAATGGTGCTAATTTTTCCAAAGTCCTGTACATTTTAAACATCCTAGGGACCATTACTTTTAGAGCCTGTTGGAAATGAATTAAGGACTGAAGCTTAGTTTAAGAAGGCAGATTTTGTAAAGTACCTGAATCGGAGATTTCCAATTTTAGTACCAAAACTGAGATATCCGTCTTCCATTGCTTAGAGCTTATCAATAATTCATTGCCAAAAACAATTGTTAGCCAAAAACTAGTTAAGTTCCCTCTGAAATACATTCCCCCTGAAAGTATGCGCTTCAAAAAATTCTCAGAATCGTACTTGAGATAAGCATAATCAAGCATAATAAGCATAATTAAGAAAATTGTTGAAGCAATATTGCAATGTTTAAACCAATCAAGCAATGTTTAAACAAGAAGGTGTTTGCATCAAAACACATTAGTGTTCTCACATACTTTCCCCCTGTTTTGATGAAAAGAACCTTCAGTTTTTCTTGTGCTTTGAAGATCCGGCAACTTCACTGATGCCCTTCATGTTCCCACACAGTTCTTTGATACGCCTTAAATTTTCACGTCTCTCTTCTGATTGAGCATCATTTGAGAAGTGGTCAACAACTGTACCTATAAATTCTGTTCCATCTAGTCCTGAGCTGGATAGAAGCTGTGCTGAGTTTTCCGGATTTCTTTGATGTGCTTCAAGGATTAGATTTGTCAAGTTCAGATGAGAAGGAATATAAGATACTTCTCCTTCTTTGACTGCAATAGGGAGCTGTGGTATTGGAGATGGACTGTGTTGTTGGAGAATTACTTCCATCTTATGGTTTCCAGAATTTGCGCCAATAAGTCTGAACAGCTTGTATGCTTCCTTTTGATTGTCAATGATCACCTTCAAGTAGTCTTTGGTCACTACCTGATTTGCAGAAGCTACTGCTAGGGCTGATCTGATGTCCATTTGGAGAAGGGACATCTGTTTTTGGAGACTAACTGTGACACTCGCTATTTGCTCTTTGACTTTGTTGATTTCTTTAAGTTGAAGTTGACTGTCAGAGGCATAGATTTCCATCGTGTTGCTCACAGTTTCACTCAATAGTGAGATAATCTCCAGAGTCTTCTGCACTGATTTGCTTATTTCTTTGAGATCTGCGCTGTGTTTTCCTTCAGATTTCTCTATCAGCTGGGTGTGCCTGACTTTCATTTGCTCTATCTCTTGCCTAAAGGAGGCATGTTGAGATGCTAGGGCTGATTCAATCAGCCCTTGGACCTTCTTTGTCCAGATTTCCGGTATTTCATCCGGAAGAGTAGGGGTGGAAGAGTTATGGAAATGAAAATTGGTTACCTGATGAGATGGTGGTGTTCTTTGGAAGAGTTGCACAGGAAGAGATTCAGCATCTTCTTGTACATCTTCTTCATCAGTAACCTTCTGTGTTCTTTCAGACTCTCCTTCTGCTTCATCAAGCGCAAAATTTGATATATCCTTAGAGAGGGAGTCTCTTTCTTCAGCTGTATTCTCTTCTTCAAAAATGGCTACTGGAGTTTGAGAGACCTCTAGTTCCGCCATTTGAGTTTCCTTTTCAGCTTCTCCAGAATTCCTTTGTGCTTCAACAGCTTGCTCCATTGTTTCTGGAAGAGCTGACTGTTCTGGAATTTCTGCGGACTTCTCCGAGATCTCAATTTCAGTAGGATTGGAGATCTCACAAGGAGTGGTGAGAATCTCTAAAACTTGAGATTGAATTAGTGGCTGAAATTCTTCTTCTTCTGCTGTTTCCTGGTTCTGTTCTTGTGGGGGTGAGGTTGCCTTCTCTTCTACAACTTTAGTTAGAACCATTTCAGAAACATGTGAGGTTTCCGGAAGTGTTTGGAAATCTTCAGCTGCTACTTCCAAAACACCTTGTGCTTCAGAAGTGAAAACCACTTGATCTTCTGTGTCTTTTGAGAAGACTGACTTGAAGACTGTAGGATCTTCATCATCTGCTTCAAAGTCAGAAACTGGTGTGTTGGCCAGGTATTCCAGATGCAAGTCTTCAGGATTCCTTTGCCATACCCAGTAGTCATCCAAAATTTGTTCACAGTTGTGGTTGACTGGTATTCCTAAGCACTTTTTGATGATCTTCTCATTCTTCAGTTGTTGGTCCCAATTCAACAGTTACTCTGCTGAATTTCCAACTTTCCAGGCTTTCCAACCATAGTAGAGCTGCCAGAATTGGTTATCTGCATCATCTATTTGAGGCTGAGGTGATGAGGTTGGAAGGCTTTGGAATTGAGGAATTTCTTCTTCAAGTTGTTTAGGGCTCCGGTTTTGAGCAGAGGTTTCCTCAACAGGTTCCTTCTCCTTCAACTCATCCGGATTGACATTTCCAGATGTTGATGGAGAGTTGATCTTCCTCTTCTTCTTCCTTTGAAGTTCTCCTTGGTCAGAGGATTCTTCTTCTTCTTCAAGATTTATTGGAGCAAGATTCTGTGGTGCTTCAGTACTAGGAGAGGGAGACACCACATGCTTTCTCTTGGTAGTCTTTGCGAAATTGATGAGTGGGACATTGTCTGATGAGCTTTCTTCTGCAGTGGCACTAGCACTAGCTCTATTTTCTCCTTTGTAGGATAAGTAGTATAGCCAGTATCTGGCTTCATAATTTTTCCCTTTAACTGCAGCGCCCATAGATTCCAAAATATGTCCAATATACAGACCTTGACAGAGATACTTCTGATTGTGCTTTCCTAGATGTTTTGAAATGGATTTGAAAAAGTGTGCAGCCCAGTTTACCTTAATTTTGGTAATGAGAGAGTTGATGATGAAGGCTCTCTCCTGGGTGATGTCATCGGCATGACCTCCACTTCCACACTCGAGGCAAGCGATGACCAGTTCCAAAACCAACTTGTAATCGTTGTTTAGATCTGCTTTCTTTGCTGGGCCAGAAAGAACTTGCCCAGAGATTCCAATGATGTTCCAGTCCAGATTTTTGACTGGAAATTTCCCAACTTCAACTCCAAAATTGGGAAGGCGAAGCTTTTCTCCCAATTTCTTTTGCGAAAGCTTCACTTTTGTACCTCCAACAGTGGACTTGATGACTGGAAACGTCCTTTGTGGGTTCTTCTTTGAATGAGCAGTTTTGACCTCACCATTTCTGTAGAATTCAAGAACTTCTTCCTCGAATTTGAGGCGAATCTCCATTTGAAGAAATTCGGAGAGTTCTTGAGCGGCTATCATTTGCAGATAGCTTTGAAAGAATGTTGGTGATGAGCACTTGGCTTCTAACTTCTGGAAGTGGACATTTGCACCGACAATCTTCATTTTCTCAGAAATTTGAGAAGATCTGAAGAAATTAGGGTTCTTGAGAATTTTATCAGAAGATTCTCGTGAAGAAGGGGATGAGAGATTTGAGTGTGCTGAGTGGGCAGTTGAGGTCTGATTATAGTGACGATTGGGTTTAATGTGGGCGATTTATGCGGCTAGTGGAGATTGGGTTTTTAACTGTTCCCAAGGCCACGTCCCCACCCATCATTTTGACAGACATGGAAAATGAACTGCCACGTGCACCACACTCAGTCTAATTGAATTAGACCAATTTTGTGAAGCAAACCGGAAAACTTGGCTTCACTTAGTGGTTTGGTGAAGATATCCGCCAGTTGTTCTTCAGTTGAGATATACTCAATTTTGATATCTTTCTTTTCCACATGATCTCTGATGAAGTGATGCTTGACATCAATGTGCTTAGTGCGAGAATGATGCACTGGATTTTGAGAGATGGCTATGGCACTTTGATTGTCACAAAATATTGTCACTTCCTTTGTCTTGACTCCATAGTCCAGTAGTTGTTGCTTTAGCCACAAAATTTGAGCACAACAACTACCAGCTGCAATGTATTCTGCTTCTGCTGTTGATGTAGAAATGGAGTTTTGTTTCTTACTGAACCAAGAAACAAGATTTCCACCAATGAATTGACAAGTACCAGATGTACTTTTCCGGTCAACTTTGCATCCGGCAAAGTCAGAATCTGAGTATCCAACTAATTCAAATGAATTGCTCTTAGCATACCACAAACCCATGTTCTGAGTTCCTTTGAGGTATCTAAGAATCCTTTTAGCTGCTATCAGATGACTTTCCTTTGGCTTTGACTGGAATCTGGCACAAACACCTGCTGCATATGAGATATCCGGACGGCTTGCAGTAAGGTAAAGTAGAGATCCAACAATTCCTCTGTAGAGAGTTTGATCTACATCCTTTCCATCTATATCCATATCAAGCTTGGTGGATGTATTCATGGGGACAGAAACGGATGACTTCTGATCAACTTTAAACTTCTTGATGATCTGTTGAGGAGGATGATTCCTTAACCAACGAAGATTGTGTTGATTGGGATTGACTGGTTGATTTAGTTCAGCTTCTGGTTGAAGAACAGAAGTTGTTGGTGTTTCCGGATGGATTGGCACTGGGTCGCCATTTCCGGAATTATCGCCGTTTGAGAGATCCGGAATATTGGAAGGCTGGCCAAAATTTCCGGAGGGCTAAGCACTGTCTAAATCCGGATTTCTCTGTGAAGTTTTCAGAGGCAGACTTCTGAATGGAATGAACTCCGTGAGCTTCATTCTATCTCCTTCATTGACTTCTTCTTCCTTGTCTGATAGATCCAGAACCTCATGGTCATGCTTTGACGGCTTGTCAACCACATGTTTTTCATCAAAAATAACGTGTATTGACTCTTCCGTGATCATGGTTCTTTTGTTGAAAAATCTGAATGCCTTGCTCATCATAGAGTATCCAAGGAAGATGGCTTCATCTGATTTTTCATCAAAGGTGTTCAGATGATTCTTCCCGTTGTTTAACACAAAGCACTTGCTCCCAAAGATATGGAAATATGATATATTAGGCTTTCTCCCGTTCCACAGTTCATAGGGAGTTTTGTTGTGCCTTTTATAAATCATACTCCTATTTTGAGTATAGCGGGCTGTGTTAACAGCTTCAGCCCAGAACCTCTTTGGTAAGGAAGATTCTGCTAGCATGGTTCTCACTGCTTCCTTCAGGGTTCTGTTCCTTCTTTCAGCTACACCATTCTGTTGAGGTGTCCTTGCTGCAGATGTTTGATGAAGAATTCCGTTTTCTTCACAGTAGTGAATGATGATTTCATTCAGGAATTCTGTGCCTTTGTCAGATCTAATCTTCTGAATGGTCTGACTTGCTTGGTTTTGAATTAGCTTCATGCAGTTGGTGAGTTTCCCTTGTGTCTCCTTCTTGCTGTTGAGGTAGATTGTCCACGTGTATCTTGAGTAGTCATCAACTACCACCAAGACATATTTCTTTCCACTTAGACTTATTGGTGTAACAGGGCCAAATAAGTCCATGTGAATAAGACTTAATATCCTTGTAGTTGAGGGTGCCGATTTTGCCTTGAAGGTGGACTTGACTTGCTTTCCTTTTTGGCAAGCATCACAAATACTTTCCTTTCTGAATGTAGCTTTGGGAAGACCTTCTACTAACTCTTCTTTGGACAGTTTGTTGAGGGTTTTGAAGTTGAGATGACTCAGCCTCTTATGCCAAAGCCATAGAAGGTTAGTGTCACCTTTGCTGATTAGACATGCTTCCTTGACATCGCTCCATATCACTTCATATATGTTTCTGATTCTCTTCCCAGTGAGAATGACTTCATTTGTGGAGATGTTCTTGAGAGATGCCATATTTATGCAGAATTCCAAGGAGTAACCTTTATCACAAAACTGACTTATGCTAAGAAGGTTATAATTGAGTCCTTCAACATAAGATACAGCTTGGATGGTTAGTCCCTTGTACACCAGATTTCCTAGCCCTTTAGTAAGGCCGAAATCATTGCTTCCTCCAAAAGTAACTCTTGGACCATCATAGGGAATTAGATTGCTCAAAAGGCTCGCATCACCCGTCATGTGTCTTGAACAGCCACTGTCTAAGTACCAGACACCTGGGTACTTAGTGGCTTCCTGCATTAGGAGGAGGAAGATTTTGGTACCCAATTAAGTTTGGGTCCGGAGTAGTTAATGGTGTGTGTCCCTACATCAAGTTTGAAGTTGCAGGGAATCTTCCTTGCAGCTCTAAACTTGTTGGGATTGTAATCATAGTTGTAGGCATAAAACTTCCTACGTGCAGGAGGTGCTATTTCCTGTTTCCTCCTAGCAAACCTAGGTTGATAAGACCTATAGTTTTGTCTAGGTTGTGCATAGTGTGTCATGTGTCGGTTATAAGCATACTTAGGTGGCACAAATAGCTTCTGGGGTGGAGGGTAACTATATCTTGGCATAGTTCTCCACTCAGAATTTCTTGGAAAACTCCTGTCTACCCCATAATGAGTATAGCCTC